CTGCTACCTGCCAGAGAGTAATTCTGGAGACAAGTCAGATGCAGTGCCATGGCAACTGCTCTGAGACCAAGCAAGTCTGCCTCTTCTTGCCTTCTGATGTTAAGCTTTTTCCATCCCATCGCTCTGAGGTTATTTTTCTTTTCTTCCCCTTCCCCAAGTAGTTGCTTGCTGTGCTAATAAGTGAATAAAAAGGAGGAAAGGCTTCATACAAATTGTTAAAGAAAGGTAAGAAACACACACAGGGATTAAATCACCTGAGAAGGCATCAACAACGCTGATTGTTTTAATGTTCCTGTTTTCCAAGTAAGCATCTGGAAGGAAAAGTTTAGAGCAGCAGTAGGAGTTGTTATTACAGATTGATTTATGGATACAGGGGAGGATGTGCTTAAGGATCTCTGTTTGCCTCGTGTTGGCAGCTTGATATGATACAGTCCATTAATTTTTCAAGGCTCCAGTCCTGTTGGCTTGCAAGTATCTTGGAATTTTCATGTTGATGGGTAAAGGTTTTCGTGCCTGGGCTTGGTCTTGGCTCCTTTAGGGGCTCAGTATCTGTCTTTGGGGCGTCACCTCTTGGAGACACCTGTCAGAATACAGGAGAAGCCTTGGTGGCTTCAGTAAAGGACCCAAAAGACATTTAATCTTGATTTGAGAGCTCAAATGTCAGAGAAGCTACCACATATTTGCAATGGTAATTATTTTCACTTTTGAAAAAGGTGAATTTTACTTCCAGCCTTAGATCTGGAGCTTCCAGCTCTCGGATTGGTTGTGGATTGCAGCCCTTCAGGGTCAACATAGCGATCAAATTATAACACACTTGCATGAAGAATCAAGTAAATGTCTTTAGAGCTGCTTATTCTTTAAATAGTATTTAATTGAACTAAGTACTGTATATTTAACACCTTTTTACCTGTTTTCCTCCATTTTTATTTCTTCATTTCTTTCAATTTTTTTTTTTTTTTTTGAGGGAAGAAGATGACATTTTTATTCCGGAAGAGACTCATTTAGCTAAAGGCAACTTTATTTTTTACAGTTTCACTGACTGTTGATATACAGCCTGTACACAGTAGATAATTGTTGATGCAAAGAACATTCACATATGATAAGTGTTGCACAACCTAAACCTGCCCATCATTTTTAACATGCTTAAGGCCTTATAGCACATGTTATTTTGTGAACTGATCACAGAATCCTTTGATGACAGAATAACTACAATTCTCAGGACCAAACCAGATGCAGATGAATTTCCCCAGTCTAAGAAGGAAAATATCACAGTACAGAAGTTCTCAGAGCAGCTTTCCAGTTCAAAAGCACTTTGGTAAAGCTGGACAGGAAAGCAGCAGCAGGACTAGGTGAGATTTTACCCTTTTGCAGCAGTTCTAAGCAGTGAGGCAGACCTTAGTGTTTTAATATGCAGAAAGTACTGGATGTTTTAATGAGATCTTGAGCTATTGGCTCTGAAGATTGCTGGTGCCCTGGTGAACAACCCCTCAGACTTCAGGCACACAATGAGCGTTTGCTTCCCCTCTCAGTTCTTCATTTCTTGGATAGAATTTATTATTTCCCTAAATATAAGCAGCTGCCAAAATTCATTATGTATTTTAGTACCTCTTTTTGCTATTTTTGACTCCATCTCATTAAGTGGATTACATGGTTTCCTTTCATAATTAAGTGTGGATTAAATATTATATTAAAAACAAATTACACCTTTTCAACTGCCATCTCGAAGTCTTTAAAGAGAAAAAAAAGCTCTTCTGATGCTCATTTTTTTCCTCCAGAAATGTTGGTTAGTATGATAAATATATCTTGTTATTGATGTGGTTGTAGAATCAAAAACATCAAGATGAAATGTGCTCTGTTCTTTCCCACCTAAATTCCATTCAAAGAAGAGTAATTTTTGGACTCTTTTATCCTTTTGTGCTCTGGGTAATAATGACTTATTCCAAAATTTCTGTTGGGTTATTTGGACACCAGCAAACTTAAATATTAGTAGAGCTCAGGAAAGAAAGCAAAAATGTAAATCTACTAGGGGCTTGAATATTAATTGGGTAAGTATTTACTCTGTCTGATAAGAAAATAGCATTTCTATTTCCAGTGGCTGCTTGGGGTCAAATCAATCTATGAAAATTAGTTGTAAAAATTCTCTTCCGTGTTTTAAAATTTGATCAAGACAAGCATCATGGATCCAAACTTTCCTTTTCAGAGTCCTAAATTGAACCCATTTAACCTCAGGTAAGACTTGATTGTAGTATAAATTAAATGTATGTTATTAATTATCTCAATCTGTATCGTAGATTTCTTTGGGTTAATGCTAATTCTAATTTCTCTGGTTTCAAGCCAAGCCACCAATTACATGATTTGTAAGAGCTGAATTCTGTCCCCCAGGTTGAGATGTGGTGACAACCAGTCCGTTCTGTCACCGGTGCTTGAGTCAAACCACAGCATTTTCTTGAAAAAACCCCAAAGAGCAGGCATCATACTGTTATTATATACCTGAGCTGCATTAGATCCAGCCATTATCAAGGCCCTAATGATGGCAATTTATCAAATTAGCCTTAAAATAATAGATACCTTTCCCCAAATGCCATATTATTAGCGTGCCCTGTTTTGACTGTCTCTCTGAGAGAGCAGAAAGCTTTCTGTAAAGTAAGACAGTTTCACGCTCACCCCCTTCGGCTGAAATGAGCCTGACGTATTATCCTTTTTCACTTGGTTTCTAAAGTATTAAAACACAAAGAAATGGCTTTCCCTGATTAGCTTTTTAATCTGATTTCTTGCAAAAAGCCATTATTGCACGTGCAGCTCCACCCAACAGATTGGTGGTGACAAAAGAGCCGCAGTTGAGTGTGGGAGGTAGAAAGTGGCTGCATTTGAGGTCGTGTGAGAAGAGTTAGATGTCTCAGCTGAAAAGAATTCTCTCCAAAGAACAAGGTCAGGTTAACTCTGCTCAGACCAGCCATCAGAAATATTTGTTGCAGTGCATGGGTATATGTGAGAGGTGCGTTACTTTTTGTGGAAACATGAAACAGTGTTCAAAAGTATTTAAAAAAAAAAAAATGCTGAAAATACATTCCCCGCTCTGCCCAGCTGTTATGATGTCTCTGAAAGTGCTCAGCAAAGGATAAAATTAATGAATATATACATTTCTGTGTGTATGATTTGTATTTATGCCTTTTTGAGAGGGCAAGCCTTAGGCACAGGAAAGTACTTGCATCTTTGTTATTCTGCAAAGCCTTGCAGACTGTGCTGACCTAGTAAATCAGAATTGTTCCTTCTCACAGTGGGGGCAGGAAGAGAAGAGACACCTTCTGATTGAATTGCTTTTCCTACGGCTCTGAAGCAGGAAGGAACTTTCTCCTGGTTTCATTCTGTCTGGCAGCCTCTGTCCCTCTTTTTTTGGAGGCCTAGAACAAAATATTTGAGAGTGCCCCCCAAACCCTCTGTTAACCAGCTCATAACTTAGTTGTTAAAGGCTCCACTTCTGTGTGTCTTCCATCTTTTTAACCTAACACCAGTCGTTAATGAACTGTAAGACCTGAAGATGAAAGAACACTCCGTAGTAAAGCAGAGGTATCAAACCAGCCAGCTTCTGTTAAACTTAATGAAACTGCATAAACATGCTGGAGTAAACATGCACAAGGAAATGTTTCCAGTGCTCTTCAGCTCTCCTCTTAGTAATTATTGGATGGTTCAGTAAAAACATAACAGTAGCTGGAAAAGGTCAGTGCCAGGACTTTGAGTGGAAATAATCAACAGTTCATCCTTCATGTGGCTGCAGGTACAAGGGCAAAAAGAAGTGAGAAATAATGATCATATTTACCAAAATGTAGAGCGTTTCTGTGAGCTCTGTGTTTGCTGTTGCTACACTGATGCATTTCAAGGCTTGCAAAATAATGTAGTTTAATTTTGCCATCACTCCTGTAAACTGGATGTTCTACTGATGGTGTATTAAGGATAAAATCTTCTTTGGCAAAACCAGAATAACATAAGAAAACTCAAACTGATTACAGTAACTTCAAATGGCAAAACACGGTTTCAGCCATTGCAAACAGAATTTCTTGTGGAGCTCACTAGGCTTCAGAAACAGAGTTAAAAGTAACAATTTATGACTGAAAGTACACCATGGCTGTAGCATAATGCTGTGAATTAGGGAAACTTGTAGTTAATGCTGCAGTATTGGGGTCAGCACTGCTCCTGTCCCTGCCCACCTGCAGCAGCAGTTCCCACAGGAAGCTTAGTCAGCTCAGTGAAATCAATTGCAGTGATATGGTTTCAAATTGTGTGATAAAACTGCACACCTACTCCTGCAGTTAAGGCAGGTACAGCCATTTGGAGAGGATTAAGGATTGAGGAACTCGTAACTCGATGGGCTGAGCAGGCTTCGCTCCTAACAGCAGCACAGCAGCACCGGTCTGGTGAGCCACAGCTCTGCTGGCTCAGCTGGGTTTCTAAGAAATTCTAAACAGAATCCTCTTGTGCTTTGCAAGACTAAATAGGGGGTAAAAAGCACCAACTGCAAAGCCATTACAGCTGCAAAGCCCTGCAGCGGCTTCATTCCTTGGCTTGAAGCGCTACCACACAGCTGGAATTTGAGTCTACAGGGGCACAAAATGCATCAAGCTCTATCTGGTGGAAGCTCTGCAAGTGAGTTTTTTTTTTTTTTTTCTTAAAGTGTGTCTTAGCTATTGAAAGCAGAAATGTGTTTCAGGAATAGGAATACCTGTTTGATTTAGGAAAGATTTCATAGGCACACTTTGGAAATTCTCGTGAGAAGAGTTAATTGGCTGGTTGTGAAATCCAAGCTGACCCTCTCTTCAATTCATATTTTTCATTAAAAAAACCCACACTAACAAAAATAACCAAAAAGCTCGAAACAATAAGTTTTGTCTGGAGTTCAGAATAAAAATGTTCTTTATCTCGAAATCTTTAGGATTTCCAGTGCAGGCTACTGAGAACTGGACACAGCCCAGTGAACTGGTGGCAATGGCTCAGAAATGCACAAAATCACAAGGGCTGGGAACCCACAAACCAAGCCCATGGAAATGGATATAGAATCTGGGGTGTGAAATCTTTGGTGTGTGTCCCAGGCTTTTTGGTAGCTGCAATCTGGAATTAAAAACATTAATGATGGTTATTAGATTAGAAGGATAAAAATCTACAGCAGCTCCTGCAGATATTGTAGCAAAGCTTCTTTCAGATATTGTAGCAAAGTGTACCCAAGGAAATAAGACTTTTACCATATTTAAAATAGAGATAATTATTTCTAGAGATAATAATTATCTCAGAGTTAATTTTTTATTATTATTTTGATTGAATTGACGTTCATTTTATGTATTTTTTTTTTGTCAGGAATATACAGTTCTTCAGAGCCTTTAAAATGGATAAAGGGGAAGATAAGTCCCTAGTTCATGTGTACCATTTGCAGCCCACCATCCTGCACAAGAGGGAAAGTTCAGAGCTGCAAACCAAAACCAAGCACTTGGTACAGCTTAAAAGAAATTGCTGGGGTGTTAAATAAGGAAGGAATAGAACTTCTCTTCCCCAGTTTGACTCTGAAATGTTAGTTAAGCATAAAGGAAAAACATGCTTAAGCACTGGGGAGACTTCTGACCAAGGCAGTGGAGGTTTCACAGCTGAGTGACAGTCTCTAAATATAACTGCATTGTCACCCGCTGTTCCCTGCAAAGCTGTAACAAACTGCCACCTTAACAATCCCTTCGTGCACAAATGCCCCTCAAATTGTCACCCAGCGCAGAACTCCCTGCTGGTCATGGAGTTTTGTTTCTTTTTAATCTCGTCTGCTGTAAAACTGCAGGAAATGTCGCGAAGGGACATAACAGGGGAAGAAATGTTATTTTTTCAGGTTCTCTGCAGGAGACCAGAGCAGGCTGCCAGGGAGAAGTTTCAAAAGGAGCCTTGCCATGTGAGATGCTATGGGAGCGTGGAGCAACTGAGGAAGAGGGAATTATTGTTATATAAGCCTTCCAGTTCCTGCTGGAACAAGACAGGGTGCTCGTAGAGCGTTAAATCGTGAGCTGACACGAATCCCTAATACGTGTGACAGAGAGTCACAGCCAAGTGGGAAAAGGTGTCCGGTGTCAGAGCTCTGGGAGGATGAACCCCAGGGGTCCGTCTGTGAAGTGCACTAAGTGAAACAGAGGTGAGTGAAATGGTTTTACTGATAAAAAACCCGTCACACAAAAAGTGGAACAGGCAGATATGGTCTGTAGGGCCAAGGGAAGGGAGGCGAATGGTGCTGATACTCGGGTGGGTTCAGTTCAGCCTCAAATACCTGTTTCTTCCATCTTAAAAAGGAAGGGAAAAAAAAAAAGGGAAAATGAATGGAGAGAGCCCTACCCCACACCCTTTGGAAAAGAAATCCATGCTCAGTCCAGGAGTGGGTAAAGTTTATGGAGTCTCTGATTATCATTTATACGAGTCATTTACAGTCACTTATCTGCTTTTTCCCTAGTGCTTTTGTCCTTAAAACTTCTTTTTTTTTTTTTTTTTTTTTTTTTTTTTTTTTTTTTTTTTTTTTTTTTTTTTTTTTTTTTTTTTTTTTTTTTTTTTTTTTTTTTTTTTTTTTTTTTTTTTTTTTTTTTTTTTTTTTTTTTTTTGCACTGCAGAGTGAGGCAGTTATCAGCTGCTTTTCCATTCCCCTCTGAGGGGGGTGTTCTGCAGCTGCTGGGTTGCACTGGGAACAGTGGAGAAAGATCGGCAGGATTTACAAGGAGGCTTCAGGTCAATACCCCGCAGAGGATGAAAAGGAACAGGGTCTGATCAGAGGGAGGCAACTGCTGCTGCCTGGAAGTTAAACAGGTGCCCTCGAGGGGAGACCACACAGGGATCACAAGTTCAGTCACTCCAGGGATGTGGTAATCACTAGCTGGGTCATTTAGCTAAGGAGTCTGGAAGTAGCAATAACTATTCATTACTGCAGAGCTATCAGAATGATGGCTCTCTTTTCTCTTTCTCGGGTTTTCCTTGCCTTCCCTGAGCACAGAGAGAGCAAAACAGGAAAGCCATTACATTAAACAGCTCTTAAATAAGGTGGAACCCTGAGCTTGGTTATAAGTAGTGTTTATAAATGGTACTGAAGAAGAAAAAAAATGCACAGAGGACAATCTACAGCTATTGTTACACAAATTATTCCCACTCATGGGTTTGCAGAGTTCTTAGTCTAAATGACCCAAACTTCCCACACTGGAGTGAGTAATGTCACAAGAGATTGACAACCTTCCCTTTTGAGCACAGGAGCAAAAGAAGAAGAAAGATGGACTTCAAGTGAGTGTCATCCAGTGAAAGGCAGACTCACGCCAAAGAAATCTGGAAGTTCAAACTGCCCGAGGCACAGCCTGGCAGGACAGTCAGAATAAGTTATTTAAAACTGGCTAAAGAGCATAGGTGAGAGAGGCCAGGCACTGATACCCATGAAAGGGAGAGCTGTCCCAGTGCTGGTAAAACAACTGATCTGCTGGCCAAGACATTCAGCTGGGATGGATGCAGGAGACTCGTGTTCTCTTCCAGGTTTTATAAAGACAGCCCACACTCCCTGGACAGGTGGGTCTCCGACTTCTTCCGTGGTTCCTGTGTGAGAAATGGGTGTAATAATTCTCCTGCTCCCGGTCACGTGCTGGTAACCGGCAGCAAAGATCACTGCCACGGTGCCCTAACTCCATGCTCCATCCACGAGAAGTTCAGAGGAACAAGGATGAATGTTTTCTTTGTGTGAGCTTTGCTTATGAAATATGCTTCTCTGAAGCCCATTAATCGAGGCAGAGTTTGATGCATGGTTATTTGCTTGATCTAATGTTTACTGAAGTCAGCAGAAATCTTTCACGGGGTGTTTAATGTCTTCCCCTCCCTGTCTGGCTGCGATGCTTTATGGTCAGTGGAGCAGCTGCGGAGAAATGCTTGAGATTAAAAGCCCTTGGGATGAGTATGGAGGCAACGAGGATCCAGAAAAAATAATCTGAAGGGTTACACAGTTCATATTTTATAAGTAGTTGCAGCCCTAGAGTTAAGAGACAGTGTTAGTGGAAGGGCTGTTGCAGCCTTGATGGTTCAAAGGCGTATGGGAAATAAGGTTGTTTAACTCAAGTTCTAAATCACCTTTAGATGCATTTATTCTAACTTTTATTACACTTCTCCCCATAGTCTGAACTACAGAATAGAGTGCTCAAGAAGCCGAGCACTGACCCAATAAATCTTATTTCATCAGGTAAAGCAACTGAATTTTGAAGTTGACAGTGCCATTGTCTCAACTTTCGGAATTCTTTGCTTGACACATGGCTTTCATTAGGTAACACTGTCTTGAATTTGCCTTTTTTTCCCCACAAAGACTTACAATAATAATCTGGGATACAGGTAAGGAACAGAAGCAGGAGGAGCACGCTGTAGAAGGGAAGGCTGTGTCCAGCCACAGCCCCCCCAGCTCCACTCCAGGATGAGGGATGGTGGGTTTGGGGTTGTTTTGGCATCTTGGGCGGAGAGAGGAGCTCAGCCCCATAGTGACTGAGGGATCACGTTCAAGCTCTGGGGGCACCACTGCCAGCTCCAGACAAACTCGGTGCACAGGGATGTGGGCAACGCTGAAAGAAGCCAGGGAGGGAGTTCCTGAAATTCCAGGATTTTGTTTTGATGGGAATGAAGAAGATTTCAGCTTTTGCCTCTTCTGGGAAAAATAAAACTTTTAGTGTGGTCTCCTTTGTCCCCTACTCCTCTTCTGTGCTTCACATATCCTGACTTATTTTCTTACAAACAAGAGCTACTCTGGTCATAATTTTGGTGTGTTCAGCATCTTTTCACATCAAAGGCTTATTTAGTAAATACCTGGAGGGCTGTTTGTAATTACTGTGACACATTCAGTGTGTCCACAGAGTGTTTTAAAGGGGATTCACTATTACCTACTTGTTTTATCTTTCTGCTAATAGTTTCCAGAAGTTTTGCCTTAAAGACAAATTACCTGGTGGACCTGGACTGACAAGTAGCATTTAGACCTGAAGACCAAAATTCCTAAAAGGTCCTCGAGTTCTCCAACTACGGGATATTTATGAATGAAGTAAGGGGCAGCACACAAGAGGTCTTCAGGTAAGACACTTTCCATAGTCTGTGTTTTAATGGAAAATATGTCTTGAAAATTCTGCCATCCCTTGCTATTTATTCTACTGTCCATTGTGCACATTGTCCTTTGGACTGCATTTTCTGTACCATATTCTTGGACAGTCATAAAGGGCTCAACAAAGTGAAAAATTAACAGAGTAAAGAATGGCAATGAGACTATGACTTGCCTGGCTTGTACAGATAAGGGAGTATATGAAATATAATGTTATCAGTTTAATCCCTGTTACTTTGGACATTTACCACACTTAGAGTTCATTAACAGGAAGGTTTCTGCGCTGTAGGTTTTGTACCAGCTAAGTTGCTTAGCAACCTAAACTCCAAGATAATGATGTCTTGCTGCCTGTGATTAAAGAATGATTTTTCCTGTGTTCTGTTTATGATATATCCAGCTTACTTATATTCTTGTTTGCAAACTCCCTTCCTCATTTTTCATTCCAAATATAGCGTGGCATATGTACGCTCCTTGAAGCATTCGAGTCTTTAAAATTCCCCACAGTCACCTCCTTGAGTGAATGCAAATAGCACAATAGTATTACAGGAAACCCACACTGCACAGCCAATGCAAAGAACATAAAAATGGAGAAGCAGCCCATGGAACTGCTCCTGATACTGCTGAATAAATCCTTAAAACCTTTCCAGCACTAGTGCATTGCTAATAACCGTGGATAATGCTCCGGTTCGGGGCTCTAAATTCTCCTCTTAAATAAATAAATAGGAAGCTCTGGGACTTGCCCATATGTGATGCTGTACTTTGGAGCTGGGCCAGAAAAGTGAAATACTGTACTTTAAGTGGTAGCAGATGCCTCCTGCTAAAGCTGGGAGCTTGATCCATTCCTTCAGTAGTATTTATGGAAGTCCTCTGGGCCTCAACAATAGCAGTGCTCTGAGTTAATATCTGAAGGATGTCACACATTACAGTGGACATGGAGTGACATTATCCAATATATTTCAGATTATTCTGTTAATTCCTGCCCAGCTTATCACCATGGTTACTGTGACAGGAAATTAAACAATCAGGAATTTTTTTTTTTTTTTTAAATTAATCCATCCTGAAAGATTCCAATGGAATCTAGAGTCCCAGTTAAGCCCTGGAAGCCACAACGAAGAGGACAAGTCTTTAGCTAATAATAGAACCCTGAAAGAGGAGGAGTTCTGTCCTGGAATTTGATGCCTCTATCAGAAATTACTCTCCATATAGTAGGAAGTGGTGGTGGTTTTGCAGTGGAGGCCTGGATGGGAGCTGCTGATGTAACCTGTCTGCTTCCAACAGACTGGAATGAAATCCATAATCCCTCACGGTGTAGAGGTTTGTAACTGAAGTGTTGGTATGGATGCAATGGCAGTACCTGTGTGTGACAGCACCAGGACCTACAGCCAGGTGTTATGAGACCAGGACCTGTCCTGAACT